CTGGGAGGAGGGGAGAAACAGGGTCATAGGTGGGCAGTAGCTTCGTTAGAGAGTGTGATTTATGACACACCCTGGGAGGAGGGGCGAAACAGGGTCATAGGTGGGCAGTAAATTACATAGGGCAGAGCCAACTGTACTACTTGGGAAATGTGCTGATTCCTTTTGAAACTTGGCTCGAGGCTCATGAATTAATTAGGGCATCCCTCCCAACCCTGACATCTGCCTCTTTTCCCCCTGCAGAGACCCCAAGGTTTCCAGCCTGCTGCTCCAGGCTCAGTATCCAGTGCTGGCCGTGGACGGCCCCATGCCGGTGGTTGACGTCTTCTCCGGCCAAAAGAACGGCAGCCTGAAGACCATCTTAGCCATGGGATCGGCTGACCAGGTGTTGGCGCTGCAGAGGGTCAAGAAGGATGAAGGGCCGGCATCTCCGGCTGTGCTGCGCCCACTGCATGCCCTGGATCCTCTCCCTGCACCCTCCGCTGAGGTGCGTCCACATCATTATTACACCGGGGGGGGTTGCTCTTTTGGGGGCCACCCATGGGACCTGTGTGTTTATCTTTATTTCTCCCAAAGATTCAGATGGCTCAGGAAGCTTTTTTTTATCAGTTAGAAAAAAAGAATAGGTGTCATGCCCTTGTTGGAGTCTGACTCCGAGGGAAAGGAGGAACAGCTGACAGAGTGGGAGTGTGGTTCCAGAGGTTGTGGAGGAAACTGGGGAAGGGCACAGGCTGGCTGGGCATTCAGAGGAAGACCCAGGCGCATCCCCTCTTCATCCTAGTGCATGCAGGGAGGAGCGTATAAGGGAGAAACATGAATGGTGTGGTCTATGGGGGAGGAAAGGGCCCTGATCCCCTTCATGGGCTGCAGCTGGGAGGACTGTTTAAACGGACAAACTGCGCATGGCCCAGTGCTGGAAGCAAAGCGTGAAATAATTTACAGTTCTTATCTGAGTTCTGGAGTCCTTCCCAGTGTGTGTATTTCGATATCTGTGTACGTCTTCAAGCCCTTATCCTGCCTTGTCTCCTTAACTGCTTCAGTGTGGTTTGTGTTGTTTTTTTCTATTTATAATTTATATGTATTTTGAGTTTGGGCGGCATTTCCTCCTTTTCGTAACTGTTTGTGGGGGAGTTTTTTTTCTCCAGTCAATGATAATTGGGCCTTTGAAGCCAAGTTGAAGGAATTAAAGGGACTTCACCTGTTTTTGTGACTTTGTTGCTTTGTTGCACCTTGGGTCATCACAATAGGTCTTTGACTGAGAGTTCTTGAACTTGAGTCGTGCTAGTTCTAATCCAGGGATGATTAGGATAACTTACGACACACGTGTCAAAGCTTTGAGGGGTTTTCTTGCAGACATTTCGTGACCAAACTAGGTAACGTTATCAGTGCCAAGGGGATGGGGTTTGTGGAGGAGGAGCAGGAGGAGGACTGTGGGGTCCTTGGTGCTCTCTTGAGCTTGGGGTTTTTCTTGCAGATGTTTCATGACCCAACTAGGGAACTTCATCAGTGCTAGAAGGGGATGGAGTTGGAGGAGGAGGACTGTGGGGTCCTTGGTGCTCTCTTGAGCTTGGCAGTTCTTTCATGACCCAACTAGGTAATATCATCAGTGCTGGAAGGGTTTGTTGTGAGGAGGAGGAGGAGGAGGTGGAAGAGAAGGAAGACAACTATGGGGTCCTTTAGCGCTCTCTGAGCTTAGTCATTTTCTTGCAGATGTTTCATGACCCAACTAGGGAACATCATCAGTGCTAGAAGGGAGGGGGGTTTGCTGTCTGTTTATATACTGACTTGGGGCTTGCTCTGTCAGCAATTTTATGTACAAGTTTAGTGACCGTTCGAAGTTACAGCACCATTGATAAAAGGGACTTATGATCCTTTTTCACACTTACGACCGTTGCAGCCTCCCCAGGGTCACGTGATCAAAATTCAGATGCTCATCGACTGGCTCGTATTTACGACGGTCCCAGTGTCCCGGGGTCACGTGGTCCTGTTCAGAGTTATGCAGCGTAAATTCAGTGCCAGAAAAGTAAACACAGACAGCTGAGGCTTCATTTAACTTCTTTATAAACACATAAAGCAAATTTTACAATACCAGTTGTGGATTTCTCCAACATGGGGCCAACTCAAAACAGAAGCAGACGTGTTACAGGTTCCGAGCAGAACAACCACTCAGGAGCTCAGAAACAGACATCAGTTTCACTTTAGTTCAGCAGGCAAGCAAGCAAGTTAGTTTCTTTTCTCCTTTTTAATTAAAATAAACTTTATTAAAAAATTTATACATAGTACAAAACATTTCATAAAATACGAAACCAAAAAGATATACATAACCAATAAACATAAAGACATAAATATTTCTAATTGCTTAGACGGTGAGTTCTTATCAAACAATTTTCCAATACTTGCTTCCTCTATCTGGTAAATACTCCTATCCTAACCTCTTTCTATTTTCCCTCCCCTAACTGTTTACTCACTGGTTTCTATCCTTCATCCAATTATACCAGTTTTCCCAACTTGTATAATATTTTGAGTCTTCCTTATCTTTTAACTATTTGGCTGAGTTTATCCATTTCCATGCAGTCGTAGATCTTCTGGATTATGAAGTTATCCATTGGCATCCCTCTACCAACATTGAGCTAGTGCTATCCTTGCTGCCATGACTATATGTAAGATTACATATTTTACTTCTTTTGCGATTTCACCTTTTATTATTCCCAACAACAAAAAATTCAGCCTTGAGTTCTAATTGAATATTTGTGATTTCTCTTATCCCTATTCGTATTTTTTTCCCCAAGACTTTTTTTACTCTTCGGGCAAAGCCAGCAAGCGTGGAAGAAGGTACCCCTTGCTTGTTGACATTTCCAACAGAGAGGGCTTAAATTTGGATACATATTGGCCAATCTTGAAGGTTCCAGATTTCTCTTCCACTTTAGAGCTGAGTCATGCCCAGATTCTCCCTTTACGGTTCAGCCCTCAACTCAGCTCTCGTTAGCTGACCTTGTTCCTACGCTCTATTGCAGTTCATGAATATACCCTGACATGGTTCCCCTTTTGCGACCTTCGGACAAGCAAAATCAAAGTATAGTACATAAAGTTATACATTGCAATGACTTACCTGCAAATGAATACTTCAGCTTCAACCATAACAACACAAGAGCACACAATAGATACAAACTCAAGGTTAGCCGCACCAAACTTGATTGCAGGAAATACGACTTCAGCAATAGAGTGGTCAATGTCTGGAATACTCTACCCGACTCTGTAGTTTCTTCCCCAAACCCCAAAAACTTTAACCTTAGACTGTCTACTGTTGACCTCACCCCTTTCCTAAGAGGTCTTTAGGGGGCGTGCATAAGCGCACCAACATACCTATTGTCCCTGTCCTATTGTTTCTTTTATTTTTCTTATATGTATCCATGTATTCATAACTATGTTTTTATTTATACCTATTATCTTGTAAGCAATTGACAAATAAAAATAAATAAATAAATGGGGAAAATCAGATTCCACTTAACAGCCATGTGACTCACTTAAGAACGGCATTGATTCCCCTTAACAACTCTGGAGCGAAGAAAGATCGTACAATGGGGCAGAACTCACCAAACGACTGCCTCGCTTAGCAGCGGAACTGTCATGGTTGTAAGTCAAGGACCACCCGTTTTCTTACATGGTTGTAAGTCAAGCCGTTTTCTTAGAGACCCAGTGTTGAAGAATGTGCCACCAAATGGGAAAAAATACACCGGTAGTCCTCAACTTACAACTGTTCATTTAGTGACCATTCATGGTTACAATGGCACTGAAAAAAAAAGTGACTTAGGACCATTTTTTCACACTTACGACAGTATCAGCGTCCTGCAGTTACGCAATCCTCTCTTCCGACCTTCGGACAAGCCAAGTCAGTTTCGCTTAACGACCGTATTACGAACTTAACAACTGCAGTGATTTCACTGCACCACTGCAGCAACAAAGGCCGTAAAAATGGGACAAAACGCACTTAACAAACATCTCACTTAACAACATACATTTTGGGCCGAATTTGGGGTTGTTAAGGCGAGGGCTGCCTGTCTACAGGTTGTAGAATTTGTAGGCGCATCATCTTATGTGTTGCTTCTCTGAGACTAAGTCTAGTTCCGTGATAGCAAACCTATGGCACGCGTCCCACAGATGGCACATAGATGCCGGCATGCGAGCTGCAGGCAAACTTACCTCACTGTGCATGCGTGCACCTCACAGCTGATTTTTGGCCGGTTTGAGGCCTTTTTTGGCCTCTCAAAGGTTTGAGGAAGGCCTCTGCAGGCTGCAGGCTAAAAACTAGGCCCATTTCGTCATTTCCTGTTTTTCTGGAAATACCGGAAGTGACGAAACGGGCCTAGTTTTCGGCCTGCAGAAACCTTCCTCAAGCCTCTAGGAGCCCGAAAAAGGCCTCAAACCGTCCAAAAATCCACTGTGAGGCACAGTGCACGCATAGGGGGTGTGGGGGGGGCACGCATTGCCTTCTGGGTGCTGGCCCGCGAGCGCGGACGTGCAAGCACGCACCCAATTTTTGGCAGAGGAGCCCAAAAACGTTAGCCACCGCTGGTCTAGTTCATGCCTGCAGTATATATCCCACCTGTCCTTCCTTCCCTTCTTTCTCTCCCTTCTTCTTCCTTGCCTCCTTCAGCTGTCAAGCAGGGAGAAGGAAGGCCTGGTGGAACATACCTTTGAGGTCCACGTTGAAGGGGTCCAAGGCCTAACGCCCCTCCAGACCACCGTCTGGGGAGAAGCGGACTGCTACGTCCAGTACCACTTCCCAGTTCAGAAACCAGAACCCGAGGCGCTCCGTAATGCAGAGTTAAGCGAGGAGGGTGAGTCGGTAGGAAAAGCCCCTTCCAAAGAGGCTTCCCCCTGGTCCCTCTATACTCCTTGGTCAGTAGCGGTAACGAGAGTAACGGAGTTTTATTTCCTCCCTCAGGCCTTGAGTTGAAGGCTTTCCGCACCGCCACCGCTTTGTGCGTCCCCGATCCCACCTTCCGCGATGAGCACCATCACTCTCTGCTGGTCCCAGCTGACGTCCCGGTTCAGCGGCTGCTACTCAGGGCTTTCTCGGCCCAGAGCTTAGCGGGAGAAGGAGGAGGGATTCATTTCGAAATCTGGTGCAGGTATGTCCCTCTCACGCAACCCACTCCCAGGATTCGGCCAGGTTTTCTCTCTCTCTCTCCCTCCCTCCCCCCCCCCCCCCCCCCCCCCCCCCCC